CGGCCCCTCGTGGACAAGCCGCCTGTCGATGGCCCAGCTCACCGCACCCAAAGCATCGAATCCCGCCGCCAGTTGTTTATTGTGTTTTTGTCGTTATTTTTGTGTGTTTTGTGTGCTTTATTTTGTAGTTTTAGGCTCGTTTTAGTGTCGACCGGTTCATTTTATCGTGTTTTGTGTATTTTTGTTATTGTATAGTGTTTCCGTATTTTTTGTGCGTTTCTTTTTTGTTTTGGTGTTGAATAGGTCCAACTTGCCGAGAACGAGGAGACGAGCCGTCCGAGATGACCGAGCCATCCAACCGGAAAATCCGCCCAAGCCATATCGATACGAAGATATTTCAATTAGGAGAATATGGGTCCTAGTTTCGTGCGAATTGGAGTTGTGTGCGAGAAGTTAGAGCTAATCGAGCATAAAGAGGTCATGGGACCATTTCCAGCCCGCGAAAAATGATTTCGCGCCCGCGAAAAGCCTGTAACCCGCGAGTTCGGCTAAAGCATGTCTAGAGGAGAACTTTCGAGACCGCGAAAATGAAGCCCTAACCCGCGAGTTGCCTCTAACCCGCGAGTTCCCAGCTATGATGCTCTCTTGCCCGCGAATTTCCTTCTCCTATCCCGCGAGTTTCTCTCCGTAGCCCGCGAATCCCACGCAATCTACGAGTTTTTCTTCATGCATGCCTAAGCCGCGAGTTCTCGTCTTCTATCCCGCGAACGCCACTCAACCTGCGAGTTTTTATCATTTAATGTGCGTTTTTAGTGTGTGTTTTGCCTAGTAGTATAAATACATTTGATGCTTTGTATTTTGGGTATCCAACTCTCATTTTTCACTTTTCCTCTTGGGGAAATTAGTTTATGTTTTATTTTTGCTCTCTAGATTAGGAGCTTATGCTATTTCCCGAGAGATTTCCGGATGACTTCGGTTTCTTTCAAGTTTCGAGCTTTTGACTCCGTCTTTTCATCGTCTACGCAATGGAAGAATGAGTATTTAGTTTTAAAGCTCTTTACTTCGGTTGTTGCTCCGTTTTTACTTACAATGTTCATTAGGGTGAATTTGGATTTGATTGATGATGGAGGAAATGCTTGTATTTGATTGTTTGCTTGAGTAGATAGAGTCGTTAATTGCTTGTTGATCTCAGTTAAACGACTAGGGTTAGCAATCTAATGCTCGTAGCTCGTTTATTCCATATCTCGATTGATTATCATCCCGTTATGGTTATGGCATGAGACTCTGGTGATCTAGTTTGCTAATTGCTCGTCATTTGATCTTGCTTTTAATTAATTGCTCGTTTTTAAGTGCTCGTTTAGTGTTAATCAACCATCCAATCAATTGCTTAGAATGTTTAGGATTTTAATTTCCCTTTTTGTGATTTGGACGATCATTTAGTAGATAAAGCTCCGAATAGCCTTCCTTCGAGATCGACCCGAGTCGGGTAGCTCGGTTATCCCTTGCCCATCAATTGTATACTAAACAAATGGCGCCGTTGCCGGGGAGGGCAAGTAGGACGCCTAGTTTGCTATTTGATTGTCTATTTTTTTCGTGTTTCTCTTGATTTTTGTGCTTTTAGCTTAATTTCCATGTTTCTCTTGATTTCTCTTGCTTTTTGTCATTTATTCGTTTTTGTTGCTTGTGTTTGACCTTGTTTCTCATTGGTGCATTCACGGGTATAGTTGTTGTTGGTGTTTATGCGAGGTAGATGACGAGGTAGACCCGTAAAGGAGTCACAACTTTTTGATCTCTTCGTTGAGCTTAACATCGAGGAACCACAACCGGAACCCGAAACCGAATCAATGGCCGGACAAGAAGAGCACTTGCCACCACCACCTCCCCCGAACATGAGGTACTTCGCACGACCTATCATTGGAGACAACACCTTGTGCCTCGTGCTCGGGGAAGCGTCCCGAAATTACGACCTCAAGACCATCCACTTAAATCAACTCCAATCATTTTACGGCCTAGCCCAAGAAGATGCCCTCAACTTTATTCGAGATTTCTATGCAACCGTCAACACTTTCCCACTCCAAGGGCTAACCGAGAATCAACTCCGGATGAGGTGCTTTCCTTACACATTGAAGGATCGTGCAAAGACTTGGTTCATGACATTGCTTCCGAGCTCGCTCAACACGTGGGAAGCCATCTACGAAAAGTTCATGAGCAAGTACTACTCTCATCAAAAGACCACCGACCTCCGGACCCAAATGGCTAGCTTTAGCCAAAACATCGGTGAAACTTTTCACGAGGCTTGGGAGAAATTCAAGGGCTATCAACTCCAATGCCCACATCACCACTTTTTCCTCGGTGTGCTCAACCAATTCTTCTACGATGGTCTCCACCAAACTCTTCAATACATGGTCGATCATGCGGCCGGTGGAGACATAGGGAGCCACACGGAGGAGGAGATCTATAATCTTTATGAGATGTTGAGTGAGAATTCGCAAAGGAAGAGCGTTTGCAAGAGGGCCCCCGTTAACGAAGCTACACAAACTACCGGGTCCTCGAATGATGCCGTTCTCGCCAAACTTGCCTCGTTAGAAGAAGAACTCGAGCAACTTTGGCTAAAGGATGCAAAATCGACCCAAGTTGTGATAGCCGAAGTATGCGGGTGTTGTGGAGAAGCCGGCCATGGAGGCCACGAGTGCCCGAATTATATGGTGTCGGCCTATGGCCCAAATCTCGAAGGAGTCCCCTACGACATCAATGCTATTCAAGGGTACGCCCCCCGGGTCCAAAACGATTCTTACTCGAACACCTACAATCCCGAGTGGCAAAACCACCCTAACTTTTCATGGAGGGATCCGAAAGTAACCTACCCACCCCAACCGGCACCACAACAAGCCTATTCCCAACCTCAACAATATTCTCAACCGAACAACCGACCACCGTTCCAACCGAGGCCCGAATTTCAAGGCTATCA